GGTGTATTTAGCAACTCGGACAGCTGTGATCATAGTTAAATTAGTAATAAGGTGACGGATTCACCACAGTGCACAGTGCACAGTGCACAAAGAGGTTGTGTATCGCACGATTTTTTCATTGTCTTCTTCGTTTTATTCATTGTTTACGAATTAAGACGTAAGCGGAAGACAATGAAATATGCATGCAACTACTATTCTATTTTGGATGTGTAATGAAATGTGTATGTAATTTAATCTTTATTCAATTACATATTTTTTAGAAACAAACATATTTTTTGCTTTACCGCTCCAAATCTTTACTTTGCTATCAGCAGAAACAATAAGAGCGAAGAGTGCAGAACGTAAAACGTTTGATATCTCTCTCTAGCGCTTGCCTCTCTGAGAGATGAGAGAGCGTGGTGAATAAGCTGGTGCTCCTCCACTCAGCTGACGACGTCACCTTGTTATTAATTTCACCATGCACCAGCTCATGGTAGAATTACAAATAGGTAACGTCGTCAGCTGAGTGGAGGAGCACCAGCTTATTCATCAAGCTCTTTTTACCATGATTTTACCATGAGCTGGTGCATGAAGAATATATAGTTTCTAGGATGGATTTATAGGAGGTCTCGTCGGAAAAAATTAGGCAAACGTGCGAGTGAAAAGTGCGAGTGAAAGGGCTCTCTCTGTAAGTGTGAGGGCAACGACAATGGAGTGCGCTGAATAATCATTTGAAGGTGAAAAAACATAATAATTGTTTCATAATTTAATATTTAATAGTTTGCTACATAATAGTAGTCTGTGTTTTGAAAAAATAAACATTTTGAAAAATGTTGAAAAAAAATTTTGTCCGCAACCAACCTTCCGCGTTGACAAGCAAACGAGCACTGAAAATTAGAAAAAGCAACGAGTAACTCTGCCACCGACGAGGCCTCCTTATAGTTACTTCATGAGCAGGTGTTCCTCGAATGAGAAGGCACTGTGGTCGTCAGCTGAGTCATGGTGAAATTACTAATAGTTGACGGATTCACCATAGTGCCTTCTCATTCGAGGAACACCAGCTCATGGTGAAATCATGGTGAAATTACTAACAAACGTTTGCTATCTCTCTCTAGCGCTTGCCTCTCTGAGAGCTGAGAGAGCGTGGTGGATAAGCTGGTGCTCCTCCACTCAGCTGACGACGTTACCTATTAGTAATTCTACAATGAGCTGAGTGCTTCCACTCACCAGCACCAGCTTATTCACCAGGCTCTCTCAGCTCTCAGAGAGGCAAGCGCTAGAGAGAGATAGCAAACGTTTTACGTTCTGCACTCTTCGCTTTTATTGTTTCTGCTGACAGCAAAGTAAAGATTTGGAGCGGCATAGCAACAAATATTTTGCAGACATGTTTGTTTCTAAAAAAGATGTAATTGAATAAAGATTCAATTACATACACATTAAATTACACATCCAAAATAGAATAGTAGTTGCATGCATATTTCATTGTCTTCCTCTTACGTCTTAATTCGTAAACAATGAAGAAAAAGATACACAACTTCTTTCGTCGACGTTTGGCAAACGACTGACAAGCTGGTGTACCTCGAAGGCACTGTGGTGAATCCGTCTCCTATTAGTAATTTCACCATGGCTGCGATCTATCGATCTGGTTAGCTTAATTGAACTGGCAGATATATCGTGGGAGTGCCTCTTGTCAAAACGTACAGATGAGATATTGATCTTTGGTGGACATTTTCACAAAGCTTCTTTTGCACGAACGTTTCTGCTATTCCACAATATGATGTGACAGATTCGGAAATGTTTCTTTTCGAACTAGAGGTGTCAGTTATTGAAGCATATTAGCGGTAATACCGATGCTTTGGTGCTTTCGTTGACAGCTATCCGATCAGGGCGACCATTTAAAGCCCATTACTTGGATGCGCAAAATTTCTTGCGACAGAAAGTGCTACATATTTCGCTCTGTGTATAAATTGATAGAATTTATATAGTAATTTTTCTTTCGACTGCACTAATGTTTTAAATCGTCTCCATTTATTGTTTTTTCTAGCCCTCTTGAGCTTGTTTTGCTTGTGCTCTTCCTGGTGTCTTAATTCTGTCGACAAAAGATAAAACAATTCTATATAACGCTTCGAGATTCGAGATATTTAATCGCCTCGTTCTCTAGTATATTTTCTTCAAGAACGTTTTGCACATCTGAGTACTGAGCTTGAGCCTTAAATTTTGGTACACATACATATGTATAATAACCGCAAATATAATGATTATTAAAACGATTTTTTTTTAAGTCGTTCATTTAAAGTTTCCGCAAGGATACATTAATTGATTTATCTTTGAATGACATGAATTTAGCCTAACATCGGTTCTATATAACTATGCATTGTATGTATATATTTTCATTTATATTTAATATATTTGGTTTGGCTATTTTAAAAATGCTGCAGCAGTTTTCAACAATATTATTTATCGCACTTTAAACTTCTAAAATATCACACAAACAAGAACGTGCATACATACATACGTACATATGTATATCTAGACGTGGGGACTCCAATTGCTGCCATCCTTCGGCAGGAGATTATTGGTAATCAACAATATGACATCAATGATGCACCAGACGCCCACACCACCCATTGTCAGCAACTCGCCCATTGCCGTTCCCGTCTGTCCCAGGCAGAACCGATCAATGCCAAGAAAACGCAGCATCATGCTGCAGATGAGCGGGGCTACAAAATAGTGATCCGTGTAGCGGACACAGGGCACACCCTCGCGGAGGAAGATGCGATTGCCGTAGCAATCAATGTCCGAGTATACAGTGCACTGTACCTTTGTGTGCTCCACATCTTCGTAAGTGGAGCCGCCGAATCGCAGGCAGCCGTATCCCTTCTCGATATTGGCCGTTGCATTGTCCCTGTGATCGATTGCATCCTTGCATTCGAGAAAGTCACGCGGCAAAAACCAGCACAGCACATTCGGCCCCAACGGATAGAATGCCGAGCTGGAGGCGGATATTGACGATGCCGAGGAGGAGCTGGAGCCTAGTGTCATCTGTACGGGTATCACTGACTGGAGGGCTGTTCCGTAGCCCACCGTTTTTGGCTGTTCCTTGTCGCTGCGTGCCTGTATGGCGTCGGTGGTTGGGTTTGTGATTAGAAACGAGACCAGAATCCCGTATAAAACAACTCTGCTGCATCTTGTCCACGGTGCTTTTTGTTTAAGTTGCCAAGTTAAGTTGTCGTATGTTGTGGCTTTCAAACATTGCATTTATGCTATATTCATTTCAACAATTATAATGGGAGTTATAATCTGCAATCAGCTGCGTATACATCGGATCAGTGTAACCACGGATTAATCGTCCAAAAATACCGCACTATCCTTAAAAATATACCGTAATCTTGAATGATTTTCCTTGACTTTGCCACTAACCAAATAGTATAGCGTAAAGTGACTTTGCAATTCTATTCAATATTACCAGCTAGTTAGAACTCTCAGCGCTAAAACTACATTTTTATCCAATTCATTAACAAATTTTCCACAGGAAAGCCTAATTCTTATGACATATCATTCATAAAAAGTTGGTCTGGATCAAAGTGGCAAAATCGTGTCGAGTATATTTAATGCATTTCATCTGTATACAATGGGGTATACCAATGGTATATTTAATGCATTTGATCTGTCTATTAAATTCCAGTTTTAAGTTTTATTTAAGAATATGGAGTATCGAAACTCCCACACGCATGTTCTCTCAAATTTCTGTCAAACATTTTTTATCTATTCCGAATGAAATTATTTCTCTGTCTCTTCAGGCATGTTTCTCTTTTGCAACATGAGAATTTTCATCACTGCAACATATAAAAAGGTTAACAACAGGTCAGTCTAAGATAAAGTCATTATTAATGTTTAAAAGCATCTTGGTAAACAGGATTTTAACATTAACTAATGAAATTACCGGTTAAAAAACAAAAAGTTGTCAAAACTTAACATTCCATGCCCAATCACATAACGTTTTATCCTTGTTTTGTAAGCAATACAATAAAAAAAAGTCATGGAAAGCAGCCAATCCGGTTGCGAATTATTCCATAAATCGAATAAAACTATAGTTTTAGTACAGATAGTCCTAACGAGCTGATAATATTAATAAGAATATCAAAATCGAGGAAAATGATTTAAGCTTACGGAATATTTACGCTATATTATAAAAATGAGATGGGATATTTTGAGTGTCGTGCGGTATATGTTATCATAAGTCCGCGGTCACACTGAACCGCTCATAAACAATAGATCAAAAACATACATAAAGAAGCATTTTTCTACCGTTTTCCCCACAGTTACAAGCAACGCTGCAGGCTGCTGATGTGCACGAGCTCTGCCAGTGTTATCAGAGCATTCACCTAAGCTGCGGCGTCATTTTCCATTTCTTTTTTCTCTTCTGTGTGTGTAAAATTTTCGCTTTGTCAGCAAAAACATGAAACTTGTACTGCTGGTGGCCATAGCCATGGCGGTAACGGTCGTCTCCGCCACGGAGGAGTTCTCAATGCTATCCAATGAATTCATCGAGCTGGTGCGCAGCAAGGCAAAAACCTGGAAGGTAAGTCGTAAGAACAAAGATTTTTCCTTTGTGACGTGTGACGCTACTGGTGTTCTATGCTTTGTACACTACAGGTTGGCCGAAATTTTAGAGCTTCGGTGTCGGAGGAGTATATACGAGGCCTGATGGGCGTTCATCCAGATGCCCACAAGTTTTCACTGCCCGAGAAGAGCATCGTTTTGAGCGAACTGTATGGGGACGATGGCGCTGACATTCCCGACGAGTTTGATGCCCGAAATGCTTGGCCATATTGCCCCACCATTGGGGAGATTCGTGACCAGGGCTCGTGTGGCTCCTGTTGGGCATTTGGTGCCGTTGAAGCCATGTCGGATCGCGTAAGTTTTGTGCAGGCAGGCTGACCAGTGGTGGTGGCTTATCTGATGCCCTGACCATTTCATTATCGATTCGATAGTCGGCCTTTTGTTTTGCTGCTGCTTTTCGGCTCTTTGTTTGCTCATTTCGAAATCTATTCCTTAAAGGTGTGCATTCACTCCAAAGGCAAGGTGCACTTTCACCTCTCAGCCGATGATTTGGTGTCCTGCTGCCACACCTGCGGCTTTGGCTGCAATGGTGGCTTCCCTGGCGCCGCCTGGAGCTACTGGGCGCGCAAGGGTATTGTCAGTGGCGGACCCTACGGCTCTACTCAGGTTTGTGTCTCACCTTTGCATGTACATATATATTTATAATTACCTTCAATTGCAGGGCTGCCGTCCTTATGAGATAGCACCATGTGAGCATCATGTGAATGGCACTCGTCCGCCCTGCTCTCATGGCAATACGCCGCGCTGTCAGCATCAGTGTCAGACCAGCTACAACGTGGAGTATACCAAGGATAAGAACTTTGGCTCCAAATCGTATTCGGTGCGACGCAATGTGCGCGACATTCAGCTGGAGATCATGACCAATGGCCCTGTCGAGGGGGCGTTTACCGTCTACGAAGATCTGATTTTATACAAGAGCGGTGTCTATCAGCATGAGCATGGCAAGGAGCTTGGCGGTCACGCCATACGCATTCTCGGCTGGGGCGTTTGGGGTGAATCCAAGGTGCCCTACTGGCTGATCGGCAACTCTTGGAACACTGACTGGGGCGACAACGGTTTCTTCCGCATTCTCCGCGGCGAGGATCATTGTGGCATCGAGAGCTCCATATCGGCTGGTCTGCCCAAGATATAAAACAAATTACTTAATCAAGTTTCCGTTCTGCGTATATCAGTTTTGAGCTCCCCTCCCACCCTATCCTATTTCATTCAAATCGAACATCTTTGCGTATCCCCTCGAGAGTCAGCGCAATGACAATTGAAGTTCAATAATAATAATAAACCACAAAAACCTGATAAACCCCTAATAAAGTATTGTAAATGTACCCCATATTGCCTGATTGATTATGATTATACTCTTATAATAGAGCATTGCCTCTCCAGCCTCTTAATCATTTTCATGAGGCTAAAGTGTCAGTGAGGCTAACTGGGAGCTGACAGCTTCTATGCCTATAGTATTTCTTTTGCTCTCGGTATCAATTTCTGGAACTTGTTTTGCGTTTCACAGCCACAGCTTGAGCGATTGGGGTCTGAATTGATTAGTCAAACACTGGGGGGCGGCTCTGTGTATGATTTATGTACACTGCGGTACACAACACCATTTGGTGTATGAAATTCTACTATCTAATGTGGTTAACCAAAGTGTATAACTAGCAAAATAGATGACTTGGAATGATGATTGAACAGGAATCATAAAACGCATCTTTAAGACCCATATATGGATGTTAATCTTAGAGACTATAATGCCTAGTGGCAATGGATTTGGTATGGTACCCCTTCAAGTCACAAGTGTCTGGTTGTGCCACAATTGTAATGTAAGAATCGATCGGTATCAAAGTAGGTCAATTATGAAATGAACATTAGGCATTGACAGAACTCTCTTATGAAAAATAATAAGCAGGCAGCAATTAAGAAATTCTGCCAGAGGGGTCTCCGACACCTTCAAGACAATCTCAATATCTTTTCAAGCTGAGTTCAAATACAGCACAAATAGGGACTCCTGTAGATGCTGTGAAATAGAGTAGGAGCAATGCATTTCCTTTTACTGAATTTTTACGCAGCAAGAGATAAGGCGGCATCTGTTATACATGTTGTACATATATTATACATAGATAAGCAAAGTTATTTCCATCAGTAAACCATACTAGCCAGGAACTGTTCTGATACCTGATAGAACGAGCACTGTTTTTCAGTAATAGAATTACCAGTAATACAAGAAAAAACCAGCTGTGCATTCCCCCGGTTTTTCAGGGGGTATGACTCACCCACCCATACGCCGTGGTGTCATCAATTTAATGGTACGTTGGGTGTCGTCCCCTCTCTGCACTGCTGTTCATATTTTCCAGTCACTAATTTAATACCCAGATATATTTAATACAGCCTTGTTATTAATTTCATATTCGCAAAAAAACGTGGATTGAAAGTGACAATTTTTTCAATTTTAAAGTGATGCCGCATAGTCAGCATTCATAAAAGTATTTTGCATAGAGCAGGTCTGTTACATCTGTAGATCCTGCACTCCTTTGATCCTCCCCGTTTCGACTCGTTGGTTTTTTTTTTTTTAAATATAATTTTTTATATTTATTTTTCTCATTTGCAACATCAAATTGAACATTATTTTTTTAGTTTGGTATATTTTTGTGTTTGTTTTTCTTGTTTTAAACTTTGTCTCATGAATCGTTTTCGATTTTGTTTGAAAATTATTAACTGCTACGAGTATTTGTTGTTACCAACTTGCTTGCCTCGAGTGGCCTTTTTTGGCAACGTTTTTTTTCGTTTTCAGCATATTTTTCATATTCTAGCATATTTTTCCTTTCGCTAACAAACAGCTTACATCGAAAAATACATATTAAATATAAGCATGTATATACATATAGCCATTAATTCTTTTCTTGTTGCAATTTATTATTAAAAATGCTTACATTTTTTATTTGTTTGTTGGATATTTGTTTATCTATATCAGGGCTCGGCACCCATACAATTAACGAGCCGTTTTTGCGTTTTTGTGTGAAGACGCGCTCAAAACGGAACCTTTCACTATATTGGTATTGGTGCGAATCACTGTAATACGCGTGGACGTGAGCGGCAGCGCAGCAGCAGCGCCTTATCCTATACCCTTTAGATAGGGGCGTTGTTTGTTTAGATAGGGCCGAGCCGAGCCCTGATCTATATATGTACATTTTATTTATTTGAATGACATTCTTAGGTTTGCTTTTTCTCCTTTTTTAAATTATTTGTATTTTTGCATTAGTTTTGCGTCTTCACTGTTGGTTTTTGTGTTTTTGGATCTTTGTTGTTTTGTTTGTAAATAGATTGGTTGCTGTTGTTGCTGTTGCCCGCACATCAATTTAAAATTAAGTAATAATTACTTCATTTGCTGTTGTAATATTTTTAATATCTGGACTTTGCACTTATTAAATATACAATAAAGTACATACACGTAATCGATTTTTTGGTGACTACCATGTACATATGCATTGATATAAATATTTTCAAACAATTTCTTTTTGTTTTTTAGCATGGCGTGCGATTTGAATAGCTTTTATGCTTAGGTTGGGGCTTTTTTTCTGATCTCTGAGCGAGGCAGCATCATTAAAATTATAATTTGCAAATCTAATTGTTAGTTTCCTCTTGCCTGGTTTGGTAAACGGATATTAAAATAATTGAATTAAATAATTCAATGGGTGACTGGACTTCTTTCCCCAATATTGAAACCAAAATCGAATTTTAATGGTAATTAAATTAAATATTAAAACGTAAATGTATCAAAATATATTTTAAAAAACGGAATCTTGTGAGTAAAAAAGCTGCGAACTCCCATACATAATCGATTATTTGTCGCAAATATTTTTCTCTTCAGATCAAATGCATTATTGTATAATTGTGTATAAAGTGTGTGTGGGTGTGTTTCCTGATGTGTGTTTGTGTCTGAGCTTCCATAGCGAAAACAATCTGCGATCTGCGCTCTGCGGTAGGGGTTTAAGGTTGGATATTCTTATCATCTAAATGGTGGGTTTTCTTTTCTTTCTAAAAGTTTCGATTACATTTTACTTAACACTTTATTGGCTTTTGGGATACCCATCGATGCACGCGTTTCGCTTACAAGTATTGTGGTGGGGAGGAGGTAGTAAGGGAAATACATACATATGTATATCTGCGATATCTGTTGTAGATCTATTAGAGCCGAAATTAAAGGGATTTTTAGTTTAAGCTTTTTTACTCTCATCTCCTCATCAAATTGACATTCTCAGGCGTATGTGGGTATCCATAAAAATATATGTATGTAAACACTCTATATTACTCGATTCTGTGGTTAGATTTAAAGAAGTGGTCTAGAAAGTTTCCAAATTGGTCGTGAAACTTTTGAATTTCACTCCCCCTCACATTTCATACATACAAGTTAGAGAATCTGCAAGTTTTAATCATATGATGAACACGATATTGTTGTTTTTTGAGTGTGAAAAATATGTGTGGAATGTGTTTTGGATGCATGAAATATTATCTCTGCAAGCAAATTAGGAAGCTATTCAGGTACAATATGCAATAATACGTGTAGTACAGTACGCGTCGCTACTAACGCACATATTCTCTTGCAGGAATCGCAATTCGAAGCGGGTTAGGGTTCGGAGTTCGGGGTGGTTTGGTGTGGCCACCTCTTAAGCGTATTTTTCTAGACGAAGACGTTTTAGTTTTTTGTATTTACTCCCAATCTGATAAGTGATCATTATTGATTTGACTTTGTTAATTTTTCATTCTTTTTTTTATATATATGTACGTAAGTGTATAGGATATAAGTATGTATGTATGTATGCAATATATGAATAGTATAGTTTATTCTTCTACGGACAGAGATCATTGTGTGGATGAGAAGTTCCATGAAAGTTATTCCTTATGGTAGTTGGTAGTATTTATTTCGATACTTCTTGTTGTATACAGATAAATTACAAACTAAAGACAAAAACAAAAAATAGAGGAACATATCGTATGTAATGTAGGAGTATATAGACAACACACAAAAGAATACTTTCCAGTTAGCAAGCTTCCAAAGTTCTTAGTTTTAGTTAGAGCCCATTTAAATATAGTAATAAGGCTTTCTCTATATAATTGTATATACGTATAAGTTATCTTACATAAGATCCGCTAGTCGAAGGCTAAACCAAATTTATCATACAATATTATATTGTATTATGTATTATTATGTATATTGGTATTGGTTTTTTGGGAAACTTTTTGTACCTTTCTAATGTTTTCTTCTTTGGGGATTTTTCATACATTTTTTGTTTTGGTTTTGTTTTGTTTTTGTAATGGGATTGCAAGGTAAGTTAACTTGTGTGGACAGCTTTTGTATTAGTCTCAACAGAACTTCAATACATTCAATATATAGGCTATATATACTTCATCATCATCAGGTCGCCTTGAGTATCAGATCCACTCTGTTCTCATATCAAATTCGAGCTCTACTTTTATTTGGTTTCGATTTCTTTAAAGATTTTTTTTTCAGTTTAAACGTTTTTTTTTTTGGTTTTTTTTTTTGGTATCACAAAATCGGTTTTTTAATTTATACATTTATACATACATTTCATATTTTTCAATGTTGATAAACTTGTTTTTCAACTTTTGACCAGCAAAAAAAGTGATTTTATATTTCCAAATAACTATTTCTGCTTGTTTTGTTTGGTACAGATATTACAATACATATTTAACCCTTTCGTTTGTTTTTTTTTTTGCAGTTTGGTTTTCAATTTCTTTTATTTTGGTAGCTAAAGACTATCACAATTATGGAGATTCTAATGTTTTCTTGCTGAGTGCCTAAAGACTGAAGAAGTTTTGGGCACAAATATAAATATAATTTTTTTTGGTTGGTATTCGGAAGCCGTTAGTATATAAATTTTGTTTGTTGTAAGAATTTTTTTGTTTAATCAAGAAATGCATTCAATTTGTCATTTGATTTTGCAACGCCTTTTCCGCACTCGCTTTAGTTCTTTGGGTCGGGGGTTTTTTTTTTTTTTGAGAGAGAGCGTTATAGAGAGTTCTTTCATCTTTTTGGTTTCCATTTTGTGTTGTGTTGTCCGTCAATTTGATTTAGTACCATATTTATTAGTTTCTGCTTTGTTTTGAACTTTGTTCGCTTTCATATGTTAAATGGCTTTTAATATTAAATATCTGTATTTTCTTTATTTATATATATGTATATATATAATTGTATTTATATATGTGGTATATAGTTTTACGATCGGTTTCACATTTATTAGGTATTTATTTTCATTTGTATTTCTTTAAGTGGTTTGGAAAACCATCAAACAACATGAGGAAACAGTCTTTCGTTCCAGGTACCTAAGGGGAATACAAATTTAAACATTATTTAGAATAGATAGATAGATAAATAGAATTTCAATTAGATGCTAGGCTAAAAGACTGTCAAATTGCCAAATATGTCGATAAGCTCGTTTCTTGAAGCTCCTTTTTTGGATTCTTTTCTATAAATTTACTATTATTAAATATTTTATTTTTAAATGAATTAAATGTCTAAATTAGTGGGTAGAATTGTAACTAGACTGGGCCTTCGACTTGATCATACTTAATATAAAGATTTAGATTGTAGTAGTAGTGGGGAATACTCACCGCGTGACTTTTGGTTATACATATGTTGTACAATACTTTAGTTTTCTCATTTTTGTTAATAGTATTTTGCTTTCATATATGTATATGTACACCCGACCCAATATTTTGTTGCTATATATCGCGCATAGTATATAAATATATATAATATTTATATTCATGTGATATATACACAGAGGTGACATATATGGGAGACATCAATGTTGTTGTCCTTGATATTATATACTCTCTCTTTTTGCTAGTATGCAGAACGAAATGCAGGATTGCGCGGTGTGCTAGAAATCTTTTAGGAGTTCGCAGTTCTTTTTGGTTTGGTTGGGGCTAAGTTTGATTTGTGGTTGGCTTATGCTAAGCTTTTTTCTAGTGGGAACCGTCTGTCTGGTGTGGTTATCTAGTGATGGCTCAAATAGGTTTTGCGGTTCAGATAGCCGCTGCGTATGGGCGATGAAAGTCCGGTCTCGTTGCTATTTATTGCATGATTGTTTTTTTGATGATTTTTTTTAAATGTATTTTTATGTTGTGTTTGTGTGTGTTGTGTTTTTCTCAAGCAAATTTTTGTTTGGTTGGTTCATTTATTGATTTTTTGAAAAAGAGAGACAGAGTTATAGTTGAGTGAACAGATTTGAGAAATAATTTAGTTGGTTTTATGGTTTTTTTCTTTTGCTTCACAACACCAATTAATCAATCCATTAATTAGGAAATCAATGAATTAATAAATAAAATGATCAGCTAGGAATTCTTTAAATACATTAAAAAATAAAAATAAATAGAAATACAATAAAAAATCTGGTTCTGTGTTTTTGTTTGAATTGGGTGTTCCATAAAAAACTAGAACTAACACCAATCGTAACCTTCTACGTTTGTGGGTTTATTAAATGTTTTCTTTTCATAACTTTTTAAACTTCTTTTGTTGCTTGTTCATGCAACCTGTACGATTGTGTGTGTGTGTAGAATGTGTATGTGTTTTTGGTGAATTCGTCAGCGTGATGGATATACAATATATTATGAGACGTAGTGGTTTTTATATTAGTTTTGTTTGATTTAAAGCGTGTTTTAAAGCATTTTTCGGTTCATTCGTTAAATCAAAGAACAAAAAAAGAAAAGATTACAAAATTGTAATTGGAACATTATAAATCATATATACATACATACACATATGGGTATATCTTGGAATATATTTTTGCACTCATTATATCAAACTAAAGATATTTTCTATGCACTGCTTTTATTTATTTACATACATACACACGTATGAGTATTATTTATTATTTTAGTTTTGTTGCATTTTGGCATAAATCTTCTTATATAAATTTGTTGTTCGGTTCGCAAATCAAACATAATATCAACATCAATATAAAAGTAAAATTAAAATAATAATAATACAATGGGATCAACTTATAGCATACGTAATACAGCATTTTGTTCTATGAGAAACAAAACAAAGAAAGGAAAAACCTCTATAGGGGTGTACTTAAACAATAACAGGGAAACACAGGTGAAAAATACGAAAATAACAATCATTTAGGACGACTAGCTCTTTCGGGGGTTTAGTGGTCTTTTGGGGTGTGATTGCATTTTTTGAACTCTTTGTTAGTCAGCCACGAATGCCGTATCCTCATTTAGTTGGCCAAGACTGTGACTGTGACTGTGACTGTTGCTGTGCTGATGCTGATAATGATGATTGCCGTTCCCCGTGTTGTGGTTGTTGTTGTTGTTGGTTGCCAATTGCAGCTCGAAAGCATTGCTAAAAGTGTTGAGGAGTTGTGGAGGTGGTTGATAGGTTGAGTGGGCGTGCGGGCAGGCAGAACAAGGTTGCAAGTGGCGGGTGGCAGTATGACAGATCGTGTGGGGAAAAGTGCAGCATCAAATTAGTTGGATTCGACTTGGTTTGTAGTCATGAACAATTTGAACTTGTTTACATTTTTGGGTGAATTACAGTCTGATGGCGAGTACACAGATTAACAATAACTTATCACAAGACGGCATTGGGGCAGGCGGGTTATCATATTCTTCGAAAGAAAGGCAAACATAAATCAATAAAAACAAAAAAAAAAGCAGAAAGCAACAAAAACCAAATTAAGAATTTTACATGACTACGTATGTACACATTCAAATGGTGATGCGTGTCTAAACAAACACAAACATTGACATAGACACACAAGATACGTGAGAGTACAGATATACACAACAAGTCAAGTACAGGACGGGTTAGTGGTGGTGGGGGGACAGATCACAGATACACAAATCACACACACACAAATCGGCTCGAACTGGCACTCGAACCTTACCTTCGACGTCGCGGATTTGCCGTCTGGCCGGGCAAATTGAAACATCCCCTGGGTATGACCATACGAGCATTCCCCTTGGCTGGGCGCGAGCCGCCCACTGTCTGAAGCCCCGACAAATGTGCCGCATAGCCATCGCTCAGCACAATGGCATTCGATTGCAACTTCTTGCTCACCTAAGTAACGACAGAGGGATACAGTTTGGGATACTGAAGAATAAAGGGCACTAACCTTGCCGACAATAAAAATCTGATCGGTACGCATGCCCACATTTGTGTAGACAGTAATATCCTTGCTGCTGCCGTAGGCGGCCGTAATTGAGATTCCATGATTCTGCACCAAATTGTTGAGATAGGCGGTCTTGTGACCTAATGGATCGGTCGACAGCCCATCGGCGAATGAGATCAATCCATGGGGGAAATTGTGCTGGCTTAGCCAAGAGACGACACGCTGTTGCTGCATGTCCGGACGCCCGGTAATGTAGATGAGCAGATAGCCGAGCTCCTGCCAATGGCGGCAGACATCAACGGCACCGGCACGCACCTTGGGATCGCGACCCGTCACCGACATGGAGGCGGTAAAGGAGCCATCAATACTAAAGACAACGCACTCGGTGAGTGGCGGCACCACGGCCATGTAGCAGTCCACCGATGTATGATCGCCACGCACGACCATCTTAACCGGATAAATGCCATAGCCGAGGGATAGCTGTTCGGGTATGCTGTAAGAGATACGTCCATTTTTGTCCGTCATTTCGGTGGTGAGAAATGTCCACTCGCCCGCCGGTGGATCCTTCATAATGTGCACATCCACCTTCTCGCCATGCAGCGTGATCATGTCCAGTGGTCCGTACATAAAGCGGGCATTCAAACGCTGCTCACGTCCCTCCTGGACAATCACATCGTTGGCCCGATGATTGGCGGCCACATTTTTCAGCTTCACCGATGTGCGCTTCTTGATCCACTTTTCGCGCGGCTGCCCTGGATGGAAGGAGGCCGCATCCTTGTCATCGTTGGATCCCACAAACAGTATGCCCTCAAATTTTCCAATCTGTCGCAATATAAACGCAATCACATCGGGGCTCTCCCAGTAGCTGGCATGGAACAGATGCGGCAATGCATGAGCGGGGAAGTTGCTCAGACCTTCGGGACAGTACAAAGCATAGTCCAAGCGCTTGGTGCCCCACCATTTGTTTTGAACTGCAGATAGAAAGAAAACCATTTAGACTTGTTAGACTCTCCTGGCTGGCTGTCTTACGGGCATGAATTGTACTGAGTGAAACATTTTCAATTAGTCCTGAAATCGTGCTCTGCATGGAGGCATCCGAGAGGCGACGACCGGCAAGAATATTGTTGCCATCGTTAAAGTGCTGCGGATGTGATTGAATAACCTCCACTTCAAATATAAAACAGAGTGAGAGAGTAAGAGAAATATTCGTTTTAATGTACTATTCTTGAGCATTCGCTTTTGAAGGTCTTTCTTGTGAAAGAAATACTCACATAAATGTAATGGCTGTCCATTTCCCAGTGGATATTTGGCATAACGTGGAACATTGACCGGCGACAGTATGGAGAAGCGTGCACTAACCAGCGGCTCCAGTCGCGAGGCAATCGGATCGGTTGGATGGAACAAATTGTAAACCTGGTGGCAGTTCGGGCGCACCAATGCCGTCTTGGAATCATGTAACTTGCGTGCGGCCAAGACAACGGACAGCGGCGAGCCGAACATGAAAAAATCACTGACTTCAAAGTCCAGCTTGGCGGCACGCGAATCGCTGGACGAACTGGAGCGACGACGACGCGGCGATGGCGCCACCAGCAAACGCTTGGCATCCAGATCGGCCTCAATGAAACGCTCATCATCGTCCAGTCTAGAGTGTCGGCTATTTATCAGATGGGCATTGCTGCTGCCACCGCTGGCAGCAACAGCATCACCGCCTGAGTTTGAGGCCCCCGATCCAGCGGTGCCTGGCTGACTGCCATTGGCTCGGCACAAAGCCTCGTATGCCAACAGGGACCCCATGGAATCCCCGAGCATTACAATCTGACCGGAGAAGCCATGTCCCTCTTCCGATTTTAAAAACTCATGATATACAATATTGGCTGCTGCCACCGTCTTATTGACGGTCTCATGGAACTCGGGCGAGGCCACGGCCAGCAGGGGTATGGCCCCAATGGGTACATCGGCTATGTTCGGTATATCCGCGGCCGACGGCGAAGCATCAAACGAGTATGGACTGAGGCTGGAGAGTATCCCCAAAGCATCGGTGCATATCGATGGACAGGGCACCATTTTGATCGTCACATGGGTTAGCAAACTTGGATAATGCTGCCGCATTACGGCCTCAAACGAGCCGCGGAACGTGGTAACATCGGATTTCTTCGCCGTTAACTCACTGGCGGCATCCAGCACACTTCCGGCATGAACGACCAGCATCAGTATGGTGGTTCGACAAGATGGTGTGCTCGGCGATCCTGGCGGCGACGAATCATGGCTACGATCCACACTGGCCGAGGAGCGCAGCTGCCGCTTGTTGCCCCGCTCCGAGGCGACGCGCATTAGAAAGTCCTGATTAAAAATGCTATCCTCCTGTTTGCCACCAGCGCTGTGGCCGCGAACACCCACCACAGAACCGCCACTGGAGGGGCCACCATGGGGCGGTGGGCTGTCATCGCCTTCGCCCAGCAGCTCCAGAGAGCTCCATTTGGCCAGGGAATTGGTCTCATTGGTGTCTGTCAAAAAAGGAAAAGTCACGTTTATGCTTTCTGAATGCACTGCATAAAAGGAAAGGTGTACCTACCGATACAATCAAAGAACTCCTCATCAGAATTAGATTTAGAGTCCACTTCCAGTCGTTCCATGCGCCAGTTCGCCACCTAAGGATCATCCGTTAAATATTCATTATTTAGGTACAATATCCAAACAAATATTTATAACGTTTCTGCGCTACTTTTGTTTTTGATAGCATCCTAAGCATATAACAAAATATAAGTTGAGAAGTGGCAGCAGTAGAGGGAGTATTTGACTCTACTTATTATCTCTACAAAAACGAAAGCTCTACGAAAGCCTGCGAGTAAGGCTAAAGCAGCTGCCTGGCAGCAGCAACATCTGGCGGAAATCGTCTGCGAGCCTCAATCCCATCCTCGAGTCGAACATGTTACTAGCCTCGAGCATTCTCTTTTGCACTATTCGCTAGTGCGCCTCGAGTCTAGCATTCATGTACCATATCATGCACATCATGTACTCATGCATAATTTATTTTTAGGTTCGATTGCGTTTTTTTTTGCACATTTCGCTTGATGTGACAGGACCTTTAACCGCGGAGCACTGCCTTTTGACGACAAGCCTAGATTTCAATGAGACTTGAAAGCTGCAAGGAAACTGCTTTTTGCATTTGACCCTAGCATAAAAGCTAATTCTACCACTACAAGAGAGCAGGGAAGAGTTTTGGGGAACATTTGGTGGATATTCTTTTGGGGATTTGCCTGAGTAAATGACTAGCGATTGAGGATTGGCAATGGGATTAGAGGAGTGAGGATTTTGTTTTACTTGTTTAATTGGCGTCTAACAACGTCACTTACATGTCTGTGAGGCGCTGTCTTGGCATGCGGCTTTTTGGACTATATTTTGAGGATAGTTTTAGGGAGGTTCATTTTGTGGTAGTTGTATAGTTGTTGATTGATGATTTTTTGTGTTTTACGAGAGAGTGTGTTGTTGTAGTTGTTTGATGTTGTCGGTCGGAACGTTGGTTGGAGGGTTGGAAATTATAGAGAATTATTTGCAGCACATTTAAAGGACAAAGCGAAAAGGAAACAGACACGCTTATCGGGTACAGAGAAAGATAGGAAACATACACACACACACAGAGAGAGAGAGACAACAAAATAGAACATATATGAATATATGTACATATGTACATACATACAAGCATACTAGACGGAAACTGAACGTTTGAATTCTAATTGTAAATTCATATGGAATGATCTGCCAAATGTTAGTTGTTATGTTAGGTTGTGTTGTTGTGTTAGGTTAGTTTTCATATTAAAAGAAATACCAATTTTAGTATGGCATTGTTGTAGCTTGAAATTTAATTGAAATTCATTGAATTTCCATCGGTATAGTTGGAATCATAAAATCAACACCAAGAGACAGCAAACGGTGGGGGGAACCAAACATGGGGGATTCGTGCGCCATCGTCTCTCACCTGCAAATCAAAACTGTGCGCCGAGCCCACGGGAGAGTGTAGAGCACCCTTTGAGCCAAATTTTCCCTTGTTGGCCATCTGTATGCTCTGCGATCGGAAACGCTCTTTGGCGGTGCCCTGTGCGGTGGTGACCAGGTCAACGCCAGTTCCAATAGCATCATTCTCATCCTCATCGTCATCTTCCTCGTCGCCCTCCTCCTCGTCGGAGCTGACCTCGGCACTAGGCGGCTGTTGGGTGACAATTGGCGGTATGACCGGTGCTGATTTCTTTCGTTCGCTGCCAGCCGTTGATGCGACAGCAGTGGCCGCCGTGCTTGTGTATGCTTCGGAGGTGCTATCTGAAAATGACAGAGACGGATAGACACAGAAAGTGTGAGTGAAAGAAGACAGGTAGAGAGAGAAGAAGAGACTAACCATCGCTGCACTCTTCACAGCTGCCCATTTTCTTGGCCAGTGCCAGCTGTGTCTGACGCTCTAGCTCGCGTATATCCTCAATGGTAAGGCCAAACCATTCATCTTGCCATGCCCAGGCCTGACGATGTGCCCGCAGCATCATTTTGCGCAGTGCCACATCGTGTATGAATTTCTCCAGCTTCGTTTGCATGCCCCAATAACGAAATTCAACGCGACATATCTTATAGGCCGTCATCAGGGACATGTTACGGGGTGTTGGCTGCTTTTTGCCTTTAACCTCGCGCCAATACTCGTCCAGCCAGTCGTCGGCCAACGGGCCACGACCTGTCTTGTCCGATATAAATTGCTTGGGATCCTCTTCCTTTACATAATCACCGCCCCATAGCTGATCCTTAACAATATCAATTACATCTGCAAACAAACATAAGAAATAAATACACTATTTTATATAGATTTGCCTTGACTGACCGACAATCCGATTTCGTAGATCGCTGCCTGACAGCTGAAATACATTCTCCTGATAGCCATTGTCTGGGAAATAGTACGTCTCAATGTCCAGCGAGAATTTCTCTACAAAGGGGCAGGTGTAGCGTGTCCTTGTGTATGGATATGCATTCCATGCCTCCTCCTCAACGGTTAGAGCACTCTTTGGCAAGAGGCCTAAGAACGAAATTAGAATTCAAAATAATTTAAGGAGTACTACAAGCAGATGGTTCCACTTACTCTTGATCCAGCCTGGCAAATGATTACCCACATGATATATCTTTTTCGTATATTGGCCGTTGCCGCCGGGACCATCCTTATAGGGTTCATTGATGATTATTTCAACGCCGCTGCCCTCGCCATGGCTCTCCTCGCGACTCTTTTTCTGTTTTGTGTGTGTGTTTGTTGGAGGAATAAATTAGAGAATTATTAATATAAAATAAACTTGCTCATCAAAATGCCTCTATTTTTATTCAAATTTTCGGGCATTTTACGTCATGGAACACTCCAAAATATTCCATGCAGTGCATTTTCGAAGTAAATGTGATTCCACACGATGTTTCCCAAATGTAAAGCATTCTAAGTAAACAAAGGGCTAAAAAAGTATTCCAAAGGGAAGGAAAAATTCGAATTTCCAGAACGAATAGGGAATAGGGTCTATCGTGAATTTCTCTGTCGTAAACATTTCAAAAGAAAAGAAAAGTCAAAATAAAATGGGAATTATTCTGTTGGCAACATTCTAAAGTCTAGACTCTAAACTGATAACTCTTTCTTGGCCCTACAATTTGTTCTATCGAATAGATATGTACATATCCAAGGTCACAGAATCGCTTAAGAATCACTTGCTGGAGTGTGCTTCAAAAGATCTTAAGCTAGTTTTAGCACACGAATTAGTTGCTCCATCCATTGCGAAGATTATCCATTTTGATTTCCAGGAAAGATCTGTTATTCATTACTCCCATTGCGCTCAAACTGAGATTAACTCTTTCCCTCTCTCCCTTGTGGCCAGGCACTTTATTCCACTTACCGCTATCATGTACAGCTGGGCAATCCGATACTCCTCCACGGTGAGGGGCAGCGGTATACGGTACTCCTTAATCAACATAATGCTTTCTGTGTGCGTGTGTCTTCTTTTTGGAGTTTTTTTTTGTTTATTCACTTAAATGGTTGATGGATCGGATCCCTCCTCCTGCTTGTCGTTCCCGTTCTTTCCAGTTGCCTATTGTCTTTGGTATCACGCTCGCCCTCTACCTAACTCGCTCGCTCTTCTCTTTCGCTTAGGCAATCATCGATTGTAGCGGTACATGGCTGGGGGCGACGCTGGCGACCGGTCGCAGTGCCAGAAGAGAGAACATACATACATACATACATATGTACATATGTACGTCTATGACCTGCAAACAAAGGTTGAAAAGAAAGGAAGGAATGAGAATAAGCAAGGTTGGTCAGGGACATAAAGCAACTATATAAGGAGGCCCCGTCGGTGGCAGAGTTACTCGCCGCTTTACCCAATTCTCAGTGCACGTTTGCTTGTCGACGCGGAAGTTTGGTTGCAGACCAAACTTTTTTGGTCTTGTTTTGGTTTTTTGGTTTTTTTTAAATGTTTATTTTTTCAGAAATAGTAGCCTACTATTATGTAGCAAACTATTAAAAATTAAATTATGAAACAATTATTATGTTTTTTCACATTGCCTTGAAATGATTAATCAGCACACTCCATTGTCGTTGCCCTCACACTTACAGCAAGAGCCCGTTCACTCGCACTTTTCGCTCACACTAGTCCATAATTTTTTCGGACGAGACCTCCTTATATAGTTGCTTTATGGTTGGGGTGGTTTGGGGTCTGGCTTGGCTGGCCATTGTTGATATGGCTTCTTCTCATACGGTTTGAAAATGTAAATTGCCATTAAATTTATTGATTTCAAGACGAGAAGGACGGGAGCGGGACGGGGACATATGAACCGAACAGTCAGGCACTCCAGATAATCGGATATGCTCTGTGGGATTGGCGTGCAGGTAGCGGAGAGGTGGCAAAGAGCAACGGCAACGACAATAGTGTGTGTCCGATAAGGTCAGCAACGACCGACCTCCGTCTCGAATTTATCTACACTGTAGAGTCTACAGCAACAAGAATAAATAAAACAACAAATTTAGATTATCGTGCACACTTGTTGTTGTTTTAGTCACCTTGAAATATTTTCTTTCTCTTTTTTTTTGCTAATTGGATTTATTGTTGACTGCTGACAAAGAGGAATACGAAGATATCGGTAAATGTACATGTGTCCGTGTGGTGGTCACCTTATGACGCATTCCGAATCGCATTTTGACCTATCGGAAAGTGACAGAAGGTGTGGTTTGACTGCGGCCGCAAACCACCGTAAACATAAATATGTATTTATGTATGTACATATGTGTAATGCTTGTGTTAGTGGGAATGTGACGAGGGAGATATATGTACATATTTGATATATATACATATGTAAATATGTATGTATTTGTAGTGTCATTTTAGTGGGGATAACAAACATACATATGGCAATTATTGAAATATTCATTTTGTTTATAGGACTCTAACCCACCAAGCACCCACCCCTCTCCACAGCGTTGGCTGCCGCTTAAATCTTATCTCCCAATTATGTTAGCCAGCTGCACATTGAAATGGCACTCGGCTTCTAATTGCAGGATTACAAAATTTATGAAAATTACATTCTACTGCCCTTCTCCGCCACAAGTGGTGCAGAGAGAGAGAGCAGGAGAGCAACAGAATTGCAGCAGCATTCAATCAATAATTATTGGGTGCACACAGAGGAGGAAGAAGGAAGAGAAGCACAAAAAACAGCAGCAGGCTGGGGAAGAGGCAGAAAGGTGTGCAGAGTGGAGGGGTTTAAGTGAGAGTGGAGTCATGTCATGGCTGTTACATGGACAGCCAAGCAACCATCACAAAACACACACACTCATATTTGTGCATTTAAGCTACAGTCGGCAACATAATTACACATGCATACATATATTGTGGACTACCATGGGCCGGAATCTACTAAATTGTGGAATGACAAGTGTCAGTGTCTGGTAAAATATAACAGATACAACCAAACGTGATAAGGAAAGTATGTAAAATCATCATGAGATTGGGCTTTCAAATGATAAACTTTATACGTGCAGTTTCCAAGATGTCAGAGATTTATAATATAGAATAATTATAAATGAAAGCCTCGTCACACAAACTGAAATAACTTATACATTTTCACGGACTGACAGTTATTTAACCGTTTAGCGTACCGATCGTAAAGTGTGCAATTGATACCATGACTGGCAAGCACGTACGCTTATAAAGAGATCGTGCAAAGTGCACATGGGTGTGAATGCGGTGGCTTGTGTGTTGTTTATGATTGTATTTTGTCAGTTTACATTTTATGATGTGACCAAAGGGTACAGTGTTAAAACCGTAATGCGCGGTAGGGTGAGGGCGGAGGTAACGCTGTGTTGGCATGGTACTTATATTTTATTCCGGCGACGGCAGCGGCTGCAATTGCAGCAGAGCGCTTGCTGCCTTTAAAAAGGAAAACTTGCGCTATTTCAAAGAATGCTAAGCAACTACAATGCCCAACAGCTGCTGCTTTTGCTTTTTTTAATGGATAAATTGCTATGGTAATTGACAACAACAAAAACTTCCCCATGCGAGAGAGCGAAAGAGAGAGAGAGATGAAGGAGATGCAGAGAGCACGAGTACGGTAAGCGCATTCAAGCAGATATATGTAAGTAAATGCGAGAGATGAAAATGCCCACCCGGAAGTGCGAGGGGGAAAGTAATAGTAACGAGTAGTTAGCGAATTCGACTGCATAGGAAAAACAGTACAAAGGTCTGAAATAAACTAAATTTAGCTTAAGGTAAAAGGTTAAACACAATTAAAGCTGTAACAACTCATCAATTTAGTCAGATTACATTGTTGACCTACATATTCTATATTTGACTTAAAAGAAGCCGAACCAGCAGCCCTGAAAGGGGCACACAGGCACGAAGACAAATACACAAAGGTCGCTAGTTCACTCTCTCTTGGTCTCGCTCTTCCTCTTTTTCCCCCTCTCTTTACTCTCTCTGCAACTGCCTCTCTGGGCCCACCTGTGGCACGCTTTATGTTTATTAATAATTTATAAATATAACAAGGCAGCAAAGCAGCAAACAACGAAAAACAAGAAAATAAGCAACAAGCCAAAGACGCTTCTGCGTGTACATACAATACATACATGCATGAGTACTCGCCTCTGCCCATGAAGCAACTATAAAGGAGGGCCCGTCGTCGGCAGCGTTCCTCGGGTCTTTCCCCCCGACGACCGTGGTGGGACGCAACGCACTTATTGACAGCATTGTTACGTTTCCCTCTAAAAAGCCCTCCTTTATAGTTGCTTCATGCCTCTGCCTAAGCCCTAGGGCTAAGCTTTTAAAGGCCTTAAGCCATATCATATCAAGGCATATGGCAGGACAAACAGTTACATCAGGACAGAGAACGCATTAAAAATAACTTGCAAGAGCATTTTAATCTTACAGCAGCGGCCACAAACAGCAACAAAAGATTGTTTGTTTGCAGCTTGAAGAAATGGAAATTCTTATCAGCCACTAGCAGCAGCTTTTTGAGGGATGTAGGGCGGGACCTTGAGCCCTGGGCCACAGCCAACAACGCAGTTTACGCATTTACGCACTGCTTCACTCACTCACGCTCGTGCACACACACACACAAACATACACAAAATACACACTGGAAGGTACAGGAACAGCAGCTAGCTTCGCTACACAGAGATGCACGGAGAACTGCTGCTGTTATCCTTAGCTAGTTTTTGCTAATTTCAACAATTTCCACGATTAAAAACACAATAAACAGTGCTGGAAACTCACATTTTTATCATTCACAGAAAAGCTGCCTTTCTTGTTGCACAGCAACAAAATAAAAAAAATACAACGAATAAAAACACAAAAAAAAAACGTGAATAGAGTAAATATTTAGCTGCCTAGGCTCTATTTTCTTATAAACACAAATCTTTATCTACGATTTTTTGCTGAACACCTCCAAGCCAACAGATGAAAATTTGCTGGCTTTTCTTTTTAGGCTGCTTGCCTTATTTTTTGCAATCAAAAACGTACACACAAAAAAAAAAAAGAAACGGAGCTTGCGCTGGCTGCCGCCGCGTTCAGTGCGGAGAAGGGGATATATTGCAGCATTGATATATCGATAAATAGATATATGGTGTATTTTCCGTTGATAATAATAGGTGATATTGGCTATCAATATGGATATTCTATTTGATATATCCACGCAACTAATTTTCTGAACGTAGAAAGCGCCAACCAACTGCTTTCTGCTTGTTTCGGGGCCGCGGCCGAGAGCACACTGAACGAAGCAGCAAGCAGGGCAAACAGAGCCATGAAGAAACTATAGGGAGGTCTCGTCGGCAAAACTAAGAAATTCGTGCGAGTGAAAGGGATCTCGCTGTAAGTGTGAGGGCAACGAAAATGGAGTGTGCTGATTAATCATTTGAGGGCAATGTGAAAAAACATAATAATTGTTTCATAATTAAATTTTTAATATTTTGCTACATGCTAGTAGTCTGTATTTTGAAAAAAAAAATATTTTGAAAATATTTGAAAAAAAAAATGTTGTCCGCAACCAACCTTTCGCGTTGACAAGCAAACGAGCACTGAAAATTAGGAAAAGCAACGAGTAACTCTGCCACCGACGAGGCCTCCTTATAGTTACTTCATGGCCACAGCACGGCACGCATGGGGTGATTCCAAAAAACGTTTGCTTATGTGAAATGAATTCAACTTATTCATCCAAGAATTGATATATGTACATATAAGAATACAACAAGTTTATGGAATTAAAACACAAATTTTCACTGCATCCCAGCCCTTGTGCTATCGATATAAGGCTATTCGATATAATAAAAGAAAAAATGTACGAGTAATTTGATAACCTCTTCTAATATTGGCCATGCCACGGCGAATGGAACCCAGAACACCCCAGTTGGCAAGTTGGTCAGTTGTGCGCATCAAAATCGCTCGAGAAAGCGGCATACAAAATTGTTCATTCTCCTCTCTTCTCACACGCAGCCGGGTGACGAGACCGAGACGCTGTGTCCACGTAGGTGACGCAGTTGCCTCCAAGGGGTTGTAAATTGGATTTATACATATACAATTTCCTGAATTTTAGTGAACCTGCCACAAACTGCTCAGTGCGCGTTGGGATGGGTGGTTGGGTCCGTTCACCGCAATCTCTCTTCCGTGTGAGAAAGGCTGGAACGAGAGGAGGCGAGATGGCTGCAAGCTGCTCCTTGGTAAAAGCATTCTAACACCAAGGTTAGGCCAGTATCTCCTTCTCTTTCTACTCATTTCGTATTC